CAGGTGTGAGCCACCATGCCACTCTATTTCCTCCCTTTTACTTTTAGTGATATTTTCTTTAGAATAAAGAGCATGTATTTGGTTTGTTTTTAGCCTGAGAGCTTTTTTTCATTGAGAGGTCTAAAACCATTTACGTTAATTACCATCATCATTGATATTTTTAATCTTGGTGTTAATACCTTCCAGTTTTTTCTTTTTTTTCCAGTTTTTTGATATGGAAATTATCTTTTTTGTGATTTTGGAGGTAGGCAATGTTTTAGTCCAGTTGTCATTACCCTAAAGCTTTTCAGAGACATTCTCAAGCAGGATGCATACAAAGTGGAACAACTAAAATACATTAATGCCAGGTGTGGTAGCTCATGCCCGTAATCCCAGCACTTTGCGAGGAGGAGGTAAGAGGCTTGCCTGAGCCCATAGGTTCAGGACCAGCCTAGGCAACTTGGTGAGACCTTTTCTCTACAATAAATTAAAAAATTAGCTGGGCGTACCTAAATTTCCTTGTACTTGGAAGGCTGAGGCAGAAGGATTACCTGAGCCCAGTAGGTCAAGGCTGCGATGGCTGTGAGGGTGCCACTGTACTCCAGTCTGGGCAATAGAGTAAGATTCCAACTTAAAAAGAAAAAAGAAGCCGGGCTCAGTGGCTCAGCCTGTAATCCCGCGCCTCTGGGAGGCTGAGGTGAGTGGACTGCCTGAGCCTGAGGGTTCGAGACCCACCTGAGCAGCGAGACCTCATCTCTACAATAAATCAAAAAGTTAGCCAGGTGTGGTGGCACATGCCTGTAGTTCCAGTTACTTGGAAAGCTGAAGTGGAAGGATCAACTGAGGTCAGCAGGTGGAGACTGCGGTAGCTGTGAGTGTGCCACGGCACTCCAGTCTGGGTGACAGAGTGAGACTTCAACTCAAAAAAAAAAAAAATGAAAGAAAAAGTATATAGTTCACTGGTTTTCAGCATACTCACAGAGTTGTGCAACCATTACTGCAATCAGTTTTAGAACATTGCATCATCGCAAAAAGAAACCCCATACTCATTCTCAGTCATTTCCCATTTCCTCCGAAGCCTTTCCTCAGCCTTAGGCTACCACTAGTCTATTTTGTGTCTATAGATTTGCCAATTTCGGCATTTTTGTAAATGGAATGTGTAACATGTGTAGCCTTTTGTGCCTGGCTCCTTTGATTTAGCATTATGTTTTCAGGGTTCTTCTGTGTAGCTTATGGCAATATTTCATTCCTCCATATTGCCAAATACCATTCTATTGTATGGATCTGCCACATAATATTCACTTATTCATCAGTTGATGGGTATTTGAGTTGTTGACACTTTTGAGCTATTATGGATAATGCTGCTATGAGCATTCATGTTTGTTTATTTGTTTGTTTGTTTGTTTGTTTGTTTGAGTCACTCGAGTCTCACTCTGTTGCCCAGGATGGAGTGCAGTGGCAGTCACGACTACTGCAGATTCAGCCTGCTGGGCTCAGGCAATCCTTCCACCTCAGCCTTCCAAGTAGCTGGGACTATAGGCATGCACCACCATGCCTGGCTAATTTTAAATTTTTATTTTTATTTTTATTTTTTTTGAGTTGAAGTCTCACTCTGTCACCCAGACTGGAGTGCAGTGGCCACTCCCGGCCACCGCAGCCTCGACCTGCTGGGCTCCGGCGATCCTTCTGCCTCAGACTTCCGAGTAGCCAGAATTACAGGCATGCGCTACCACGCTCGGCTGATTTTTTGATTTATTGTAGAGATGAGGTCTCGCTGCCCAGGTGGGTCTCAAAACCCGCGGGCTCAGGCAATCCATTCACCTCAGCCTCCCAAAGGCGCAGGATTACAGGCTGAGCCACCGAGCCCGGCAATTTTTTATTTTTTAGAAACGAGTTCTCGCCATGTTCCCCAGCTTGGTCTCAAGCTCCTGTACTCAGGCAATCTTCCCGCTTTGATCTCCCAAAGTGCTAGGATTACAGGCATGAGCCACCTTTCCCAGCCTCCTATACAAGTTTTTATGTAGATATATGTTTTTATTTCTCCTTGCTATATGCCTAGGAGTAGAATTGCTGCATCATATGGTGACTCTTTGTTCAACCCTTTGAGAAACTGTCAGACTGTTTTCCAAAGTGGCCTGTACCATTTTATATTCCCACCTGTAGCATGTGACATTCTGATTTCTTCACATTCTTGTCAACACTTATTATTATCAGTCTTTTTTATTGTAGCCATCCAATCCTAGAACACAATTCAGCCAAGTTTGCTGCCACCTTTTTTCTAGTATGCAGTAACATGTACTTCATTTCCTTCTGAGGTCTCACAGAGGTACCTTCAACATTCATATTTCTTTTCTTTTCTTTTCTTTTCTTTTGAGTTTGAGTCTCACTCTGTAACCCAGACTGAAGTGCAATGGCCGCTCCCGGCCACCGCAGCCTCGACCTGCTGGGCTCCGGTAATCCTTGCGCCTCAGCCTTCCAAGTAGCTGGATCTACAGGTGCGCACTACCACGCCCAGCTAATTTTTGATTTATTGTAGAGATGAGGTCTCGTCAAGTTACCCAGGCAGGTCTCGAACCC